TAAAAGAAAGCCTTATATCCACTTGCCAGTGGAGTTAAGGTTTTCTTTTCTCTGACGAGTTTCTTTACAAGTGGCTTTTGATGCTGTTTTTCACTAAAACTAACAGGTGTTTTTTATACTCAGCTGTTTTCCTTCATTTAGGTATATTGACAGTGATTACTTAGTTACTAACCTCAATTCAAGAAGAGTGTTTTGTTATGGTGTCGTGGGTTGTATGAAAGTTTTACACTTTTTTTTGTAACTTGTGACATAAATTAATTTACAACGTGACATTGGATATGTGTAGTTCAAGATCAAGTTATATTTTGAGTTTATTATTGAAGGATGTGAAAAATCGAAACGAAGATAATCCTGACGATCCGTTGCCACTAGCAGCTACTATGTCAACTTCAACAACTACTCATGTTGTTAACTTTGATTGTAATAATAGTGAGGAGCACGACAACAGTTTTTAAAAAAAATGAATATATCGGTTACCAAATTGGGAAACGAAGAATGTGAAACTTGTGAAGTCTTTATTAACCATAACACTGACCACAGCAAAGAAAATTTAAACTCCGAATGTAGTACTTGCAACGAGTGGTCTGATTATATTGCAAGAAGTAATGATGCAAGAAACCTTTACAAAACCCATGCAAACACTAATATAGATAAAGACCACATATATTATTCATGTGACTTGCAAAAAGTTATTATGTTGCCTAGGATGGAAGGTTTCAAAACTACCGTTTTTACTAAACGCATAGTTGCATTTAATGAAAGTTTTGTGCCCCTTGGCACTAACTGCAAAAATAATAGGGCAGGGTCCAGAGGACATAATTAGTTCCTTTGATACATTTTTCAAATATTTCAGAGATGTTCCCCTCATAAAACTCTGGCTTTGACAACTGCTCCGCACAAAACAAGAATTGGTGCCTGATGACCTACCTTGTTCACATTATTAACTCTTCGGAGTCAGCCACTCAAACCATTGAACTGTACTTTTTTGAACCAGGGCACACTTCACCATCAAGTAGAGTTGTCTCTCAGTCGTCATGGCAAAGTATATGACTTTTCAGACTTTGAGAATGCTGTTGGAGCAACTTGTTCTGGGAAAACAGTGGTCAAATCAATGCAGAATGAAGAGTTTGCAGTATGGCCTTCTTGTGTCTGTAACTACAAGCTGAATAAATTTGTGAATCGACCCTACCTGAATGGTTTAGTGTACATCAAAGCCGAACGTGGCAAAAATACATTGTTGTACAGATTTTGCTACGATAAATATTGCCCCCTTCAGAGACTAGACTTTATGACCAAAAAGGGAGCTGAAAAGGCGAAGAGCCCCCCTATTTTCCGAACTGCACCTCGAGGCATCTGCTCGGCGAAGAAACAAGATATTATTACAAAACTGCTTCCCTTGATGCCTGAAAATAGGAAACGTTTTTGGTTGGACTTGCCTGAAAGTGATGTTCCAGACTTGTGTGTTTCAGGCGACCTTGTGTGTTTCAGGCGACATCCCTAGTTGAGAAAGGGGTGTGTGTGTTCCTAACTGTAAAACATATTTTTTTTTTGTTTTGGCGTAAACTTTTTTATGAATGCATTGTTATATTATATAGATACAGGTCTCAAAATTTTATTCATTTTTAATGGTGACACAAATCCTTGCTAAAGTTGTTTTATTCTAATAACTTATATTCCTGTATTTTTAATGTAGCATACCTTGAATTTTATAGGCCTAATTACAATAGTTTCACTCTAACTCAAGCTAAATATTATGATTTTGTGTTGAAATACGTTTGTGTATATTTCAATTAGCAAATAAGCACTATTTAACTTTTTAAGAAAGTATTATATTATAACAAACATTTTCAAACAAGACTATTAAATGTAGTTTTAGATTTCAATTAAAAATAGTAAAATGTGTTCTTTCTTAAATAGTCCGTCTCTAAGTATATTTTGAGTAACATTCTATGAATAAATTTTGCAAAAACTCCGGGGTGTTTACGTTTTTTAAACCCTAAATGTTTTTTTAGTTTTAAAGTAAAATACATAACGAGCCACCATGGGAGTTATGGTTTTTATATTACGGTTTGCACTACTGTTTGGAGGTAACAAGGCCTTAAGTGCCATTTTTATGCCCAAAAAGAGCCAAAAACAATTTTTTTAACAAAACTGTTTTTTTATTTATTTTTATTAAATTATTAAGGCCTTTAAACGTACATTAAAAAAAAAGGTTGTGAAAAAGTATATTTCACGTTTTATTGAATATCTCCGTTTCAAGTAAATTGGAGTTAAGGCTTTCTTCCTAAGCAGGGCAGTATAAATATATTATATTTAAATAATTATAACTGTTAGGTCTATTTAATCAAAATAATGTTTTTATCTTTAATTACAATAATATTTTTATTTACGCTACTACTAAAAGTTGCCGATGTAAGCCTCTTTTTATACCTTTCAATAAAAGTTTATGAGTTTAAGACTCCTATTATAGTACTCGATTGTCGGATTCTTTTAAACTTTTTTAGTTTAAACTCTGTAAAAAAAGCACGCATTCATTAATGACGATTTCGCGATCAGAAAAATATTAAGTAAATAAAAATGTGGCCTCCATGGGAGAATAGTGCAATATAAACTGTTGAGAATAATGAAGTAGAAATTGTTGAAGAAAATGAGAAAATTCTACCACCAAATAATCCTGAAAATATTGCTGGACCAAGTAGAGGAAGTATTAAAAAGCCAGAAAAAAACATTTATCGAAAGACGCTAAAGAAATTGTGTTTAATGGATTATGTGAAGAATTGGAACGGCACGAGTGTTTTGAAAATTGCGGCTTTAACAAAAGTTTCATGTGCTACAAATAGACAAAAAAGGAGCGACTTTGGACTACATCGATCTATTGAGCAACATCTTTTAGGTCCCGTTTCAGAAACCATTTATAATATGTTTGCAGGTAATATTATACCCACACTTAACCAAATTTTAGCTGAATTAAAATCTAAACAGATTATTAATTGCTGTAAATCAACTTTAAGACATTTTTTACTATCACATGGTTTTAAATATAAAACAATCAATAAACGACATCCTATAATGAAAAGTGCCCGTTTCATAAAATGGCGTAAAGAATATTAAGATAAATAAATGGCGTAAGATAAACGAGTACAGAAATAGCTGGCGAAAAATTTATTACTTAGATAAAACGTGGTTTACCACTAACGAAACAATTGGCAAAGGTTGGAGTAATGACAATGTAAAGTGCAAAGTTTACCAAAGTGTACCACACCAGCTTCCAGGGGCAAACGAATATGCATTTTATATTGTGGAGGGAAGACAGTAACCGATGGCTTACTATTGAGTGCAAAAGACATTAAAGACAGTTGTTTGGACTGTCATCAAGATACAACGGGTGAACTTTTCGAATCGTGATTTAAAAATAACTTATTACCAAATTTAGCAGACAACAATGGTATTGTTTTAGATAATGCATCATATCATTCTAGACAACTTATATATTATTGATGATGTAGCAAGTAAAATTGGACATACAACTTTAAGACTACCACCATATTACTGCGTTTTAAATCCAATAGAGTTGTTATGGTCTTAACTGAAATATAATGTGAGACAAAAAAATGTAAGTCCGAAATGTTATAACAATGTCGTGAAACTAATAGATTCTGAATTTAAAAATATCTCTGAGGATAACTTGAAGAAAGCAATAGAGCACGTAAAAAATATCAAAAAAGAATATGTTAAAAACATTCCTGTTCTAAATAAAATTATTATCAATGTGGAGAACAGGAGAACAGTGATTCAGAGAAAGAAAGTGACGAAGTGTAATAAAGACATCTTTCTCTCAATACTGAGCTTATCCGGAATATTTTCTTACATAATCAGGTGTAGGGATTATCGACATATATTCAACACAAACTACTGCTTCCATTTTTTAAGAGAAACATGGCCTTATTATAAAAACCTCACTTATTGTTGCAATATCTATATATTTGAAAATCAGTTCTTAAGAGAAAATAATAATGTAAGTAAGTGTTGCCTAGATAAACTTTTAATTTTTACTTCAAGGTTTTATAATTATATAAATATATATATTTTTTATCTTTCACCACCAACCGTTCGCTCAATTATTAATTAGTTTTTTAGCAATATTAGGACCAACAAAAATTAATGAAAACCAATATAGACAAAGAACGAATCATGAACTACTAAACGAAATTAAAGAGGATATAGTTTGTAAAATAAAACAGCAAAGGGCAAAATGGCTAGGACATATATGAAGATCAGGACCATCTACGACAATATTCTCAATATTGGAATGGACACCAGCTGGTAAACGAAGACGTGGAAGACCAAGATCTACATGGCTACAAGAAGTAACAAACTATCTCAACAGGGCGGGCGTACGACAATGGAGAGAAAAAACCAGAGATAGGAAACAGTGGAGAAAAATAACAAGAAAAATTAAATAAAGAAAATGAGGACTGATCTACTTCGTAAAATAGATCTAGAGAGCTTAAGCAGCGTAACCCCGTACGGGGTGTTTAGCCACAATATATATATACCTTAAGTCACAGGGTCAGTATAACTTAAGGAAAAGAGATTTGCGATTATTTGTCAGTGATCGGGTGTTAAAACGTAATTTTGTTAAGTCTAGTAAAAGTGATGCTATTTCTGCCAAATTTTGTCAGAAACACGTCCCATGTATTTTTAGTAAAGTAATCTCTTCTTTAATATATGAATTGAAAGAGAGTTCGTCCAACAAACGTCTTGGTCAACAGGATTAATTAGGTTAATTATTATTCTTTCTAAATTTTCGTAATACTTGATTTGGTAATGAATACGTAAATTATTAATTAGAACTATACAGAGACACTGCAGATACGATAACGCTTTTTTAAAATATGTGGGTCCATTAAAGCAAAGCAAAAATATCATAAAAAACATAAAGACAATGCAATAACTGGTATTGCAGCAAACTACTTGACTATTATATACTTTAAACTTACCTCATGGTAATAACATTGTGCAAGTTGGTTCTCACTTCCTTCTGATATACAGCAAATAAATTGGATTTTGTTGCTGTTAATCCCATTTCTTGAACAAGCCCTTTCATACTTTGGTAGATCTTATCAAGTTCGTCAGGTTGGTATATGTTGGGAACGTCGCCGGAGTTTAGAATATTATTCAGGTCTTCGAGAAATGACTCAGATTTAATCTTAAAAAAAACTTTTATTTACACACAAAGTTTTTATTTATTAATGTGAACTATTTACGAAAGAAAAACTATACTTCTTAAATTTGTTCTTGTAAAATTAAATTATAGCTGGAAAATAAATACAAGATTAATTACTATTTAACTGGGAATAAGCCACAATTAAAGATAAAGTACGTTTATTGACGTTTCAATTTCCACTTCGGAAATCGTTCTCAAAATACAAACAATAAATTAAACAAATTTTGTTTTGTGACTCATTTATATTGACAATTCAGACATACATTATGCATTTTAAAGTAGACGACTTTAAAATTATATTGCCAATATTGTTGAGTTGCGCTCCTGAGACGACTTTATTTATAAGATAGTTCATTCGATTACATGAAATTAACTTTAACTTGAGAATATGCGTCAGAAAAAAAATCATAGCATGTAATTCGTCTTTAAAAAGACAAACACATGACATGATGACAGTAAAATTCTCCTGTTAGTGATTCCGTAGGAAATTATGAGGGAAAAACCAGGAAAAAAACCTGATAATACTATCCCGACATTGTAAGTATTTGTTCGTGAATTTAGTTTACCTTCAACAAACATCAAAATTCTGATTTTATATGTTACGTTATTTAAAAAACATAAATGATGTATCCCCTATATGTTACTGACTTACTAATACTGGTATTTTCTTATTAATAACTTCCTCTTTTAATATTGGTAACCAGATCCTACTACATTCTGCCGAGGAATTTGCGACACAATTGGCCTCATTTAACATAATTAGAGCCGCTTCTTTGATTTTTCTTTTTTTTACCATCCGTTTCTTTTAGGACTACATTTGAATTATTCCATTGCACCCTATGTTCATTATCCCATGTGTGTTTACATATTTAAGATCTATCAAATTCTCTATTTTTAATATAAGATTGATGTTCACTTATTCCAACATTTAATGGCCTTGATGATTCACCTAAATAAAACTGATCGCATTCACAAGGTATTTTATAAATGCAATTCTTTGTCCTTTCTTGTTCATTGTTAGGTTTGGTTTTGGACAAAATAGATCTTAACGTGTTTGTTGTTTTGAATGTTGTTGAAATGTTGAATTTATTTCCTATCCTTTTAAGTTTTTCTGATAATCCTTTTATGTACGGTATTGTTATTTTCCTCATATTATTCCTTGTGTATGCTGTATGATCTCGTTCTAAGTTGTTCTGTTCTATTCGATCGATTGTAAAAAATTCCTTATTTATAAACGATAAAGGATAACCATTTTTTAATAAAACAGATGTTAACAAATGTTTCTCCTCCAAGAACGAATTTTCGTTAGAACAAGTAATTTTGACTCTATCGTATAAGGATTTAATTATTCCCTTTTTACAGTAATATTGTGATTTGATTTGAAATTTAAATTTCTATTGCTGTGTGTTGGTTTTCTATACACCTGAGTCTCATATCCAGTATCGTTCTTAGAGATTAAAACATCCAGGAAAGGTAGCGTGTTATTATATTCCTTTTCCATGGTAAATGATATTGTCTCCTCTTTATCGTTTATATCATTTAGGAATGTGTCCAACAACTCTGATCCATGAGGCCATATTGAGAATACATCATCTACATACCTCCACCATACTGTGGGTTTGAAATTTTGTTTAGAAATGATATTTGTTTCAAAATCTTCTATAAATATATCGGCTAAGAATGGACATAAACTAGAGCCCATTGCTAGACCAAAATTTTGTTTATAGAATTCATTATTTAGTTGAAAATATATATTATCAGTACATAATGTTAATAACTCCATTATAGCCGATATGTTTAGTCTTGTTCTAGTTGCTGGGATAGAAATATGTAAACACGCATGGGATAATGAACATACATGAACATGGAATAATTCAAATGTAGTCCTAAAAGAAACGGATACATCAGCATGATTACTACGGAAAAGTCAGTAACATATAGAGGAGACATCATTTATATTTTTTAAATAACGTAACATATAAAATCAGAATTTTGATGTTTGTTGAAGGTAAACTAAATTCACGAACAAATACTTACAATGTCGGGATAGTATTATGAGGTTTTTTTCCTGGTTTTTCCCTCATAATTTACTATGGAATCAGTAACAGGAGAATTTTACTGTCATCATGTCATGTGTTTGTCTTTTTAAAGACGATTTACATGCTATGATTTTTTTTCTGGCGGATATTCTCAAGTTAAAGTTGATTTCATGTAATCGAATGAACTATCTTATAAGTAAAGTCGTCCCAGGAGCGCAACTCAACAATATTGGCCATATCATTTTAAAGTCGTCTACTTTAAAATGCATAATGTATGTCTGAATTGTCAATATAAATGAGTCAGATAAAATTAAATTATTAGAAGAATTTTTCACTATGTAACAATAAACAAAATTTGTTTAATTTACTGTTTGTATTTTGAGAACGATTTCCGAAGGGGAAATTGAAACGTCAATAAACGTATTTTTATCTTTAATTGTGGCTTATTCCCAGTTAAATAATAATTAATTTAAAATGCCACAAGGAAATAGCTTCAGAACAATATAAATACAAGATGTTTATTATTATAAAATTTCATCACGAAGTTCTCAGTACGAAAGAATCGACTTATTAAAAGACGCCGATTGGGTTAATCCTTAGCTAATCTCTTTCCAGTTACGGGCGGGTATGTGTGATGTTTCAGCAGGCAAAGTCGTGGAAGGTATTTTATGGTATTTTTTTGTAAAAACCTAACCCACAAGATTTTGTATTTCATCACGTCCTAGCTAGAAGGGTCCCGTTATTTTCGATGTCGTTAGAACATTTTTGTCTACCTAGAAGTGGATACAGTCTGGCCTGTCATTTTAAGTGGGTTATAACACACCTTTTTTTAAGTAGTTTTGTAAATTTTGAGAGGAAAAATATTACTTCTGGTCGGGCTGTCTTTGAATAAGAATTCTGGTTAGGCTGTCTTTGATCAAGGACTTCTGGCAGGATGGTCTTTGAGGAAAGACGCTTGCTAATATTACCGTTTCTGTGAATTTTTTCTTTTTAAGTGTGTATACACTTATATAGTTTGAGTTTTTTTTATCTAATACCATATTTGATTTATTATTTTACTTTGACTTGTGTATAGTTCTTGATTCATATTCAACTATGTCTAGTAGTTTTTTTCTATTTGATATGGGGACTTCTTCTTTGTTCTTTAGTTTGTGTATTTCACATTTTCCATTGTTTAGTGTATTTAAAATTTGCCATTCTTCTCAGGACTTTTAGACTTTTATTCTCTTCTATAGTTCGGTGGACCTTTTTATTCTTATATTTTCTTAATGGTTATTTGGTTGGTTATTTTTTCGTCTTGGTGTCTTTTAGGGCAGAATTTTACTTCAGCCTTCGTTTAGGGCATTTACATTAATTATGCATTTATTTTGTTGTAGGATTTTATTGATATTGTCTTGGTATTTATTTAAATTCATTGGATCGTTTCATATCAGGTTGGTGGTCTTTCAAATCATTATGGATCTTTCTATTATTAAGTCTAATTTTAGTTGGGCTCTTACCATTCTATGATCGTTAAGTATGGTAAAGCTATTAAGGACTGTGACATCATTGAATATATGTTTTTTGTCACGGATTATGTAGTCTATCTCGTTTCTGATCTTGTTATCTGAGCTTTTCCAGGTCTATCTTATGTGGTCTTTTTGGAGAAGAAACTATTCATCTGGTATAGGTTTTGTTATAATAGAAATTCTAGTAGTGTTTGTCCACGCTCGTTTCTGTCTTTAGATCCAAATTTACCTATTGCTGTTTCCTGTTCATCCTGCATTATTTATTAACGATCTATGTGAATCAATTTCTGCACCATGTTTATGTTATGCCGATGATTTAAAGATTTATTCATTGATAAGGGACCTTAATGATTGTCATTTTCTGCAGAGTGAACTGAATCGTGTACATGAATGGTGTAATGCAAATCATTTGAATCTTAATGCCAATAAGTACAAAGTAGTTAGTTATTCTAGGAAACAGTGTAATATATACCATCCTTATATTATCGATGGCAACGAACTTGAACGTTTGAATAAAATTAAATATCTTGGAGTTACATTTAATTATAAACTCACCTTTGTTGAACATGTTAATTTAAAGGTTAAAGAAGCACTTAAATCTTATGGATTCATAATTAGAAATAGTCGAAATCTCACTACACTAATACTAAGGCAATTAAATTATTTTATTACACTTTTGTACGCTGTAAACTGGAATGTGCTTCTGTCATTTGGTCACCTTGTTATGATGTACACATCAGACTTATAGAGCCCGTGCAGCGTAAATTTTAAAAAATTTTGTCTTTCAAAATTAACGGCATATATCCCAGGAGAGGCATCAGCAATAGCGCGTTGTGTAGCGGTTTGGACGTAGTATCATTAGAATCTAGACGAATTAATGCCTCCCTAATATTCCTGTACAAGCTACTACATAATCTCATTGACTGCCCTGATATTCTTCGACAAATAAATTTTGACGTTCCATCTTATCCAGTGAGAAATTCGATTACGTTCAGAAATACACAAGCTAGAACTAATCTTATGTTAAATTGTCCTCTATTTCTCATGTGCAACTATTATAATTCCTTAAGTGCTTACTGCGATATATTTCACTGCAGTTTAAAGCGGCTTACTAGGATGGCTCAGATCTACCTAAGTGATTAAGTAGTTTCTTTATGTTAAGGTAAAATACTCGAAAAATGTGTTATTTAGTTAATACCTATAAATTATTAATATTTCATTTAACTTTAGTATTGTATTTTGTCCTATAAATGGATTCTGTTGGACAATAAATGCTATTATTATTATTATTATTATTATTATTATTAGGCCGATCTTTGAGTGAAAGTAACCGCATATAATCGTGTAGTGTGTTGGCGTTTCTTTCAGTGCTGTTGACATATTATTATAATAGTAGAATTTTTCAATCTGCTCATCCGAATGATCCGTTGTTAAAACATATAATTGAATAGTCTTTATATTTATACCTTCGGTTTACCTTTGCAATTAAATAGGCTTCTCTTGTTTATATGCTTCTTGTAATTACTATGTTATCCGCAAGTCTTTTGTGTATAAAGAAACCGACTTCCCCGGTTTCGGTTTCACTACCTATACTGTAAAATATATGCCCTGATTTTAGTGTTGTCAGGTTTTCTCTATATCACCTTACTTCACTGACTCCAATAATATCCAATTTTACTTTTGACATCTCGATTTCCATTTCGGTGACTTTTTCTTCAGATAATAATGTTCTGGCATTATGGGTACAGATAAAGAGTGTTAAAGATTTTTTCGTCTTTCGAGTCGTCAGTTTTTCGTCCCCCCCTTACTCCAGACTCCTTGGGACAGACTGATAAAAAAAGTATGAGACTTTCGATTTCTCGCTATGCTCACCTGGTGTACATCTGTTTTTGTTTTAAAATCTGACTTTTTGTTGGAAGGTATTTACCTAACACCACGCTAGCAAGGCGGGTTAGTGAGTTTTTAATTCAGCCGCTCATTGTAAGTACCGACGCTGTTTGAAGCCGCCCGCTCCAAGTCAGATGCTTCCAGGTTTGTAATATTATACTATCCCTAAAATTAGGGGTTGCCAACTCCGCTATATTCGACGTACCGAAAATATTCTTCGACATCTTGGATATCGTTCTGGACTTCATCCGGGACCCTGGATAAGGGACCGTTAACAGGGCCAAGCCTAATAGCTTCCCGGATCAAGAAGCTCATGGAATCTGCGGAGAGCAGGTATTCAATTTTCCTGATAGGACTATCCAATAAAATCCAAGAGACTCCAAATGAGTTTCTACTGGCTACCCGTCCTACTCCTAATACGTACATATAATAAAACATGTACAAATTAATTTAAAAAATCAATCTTAATAATAGAAGGTAGGCAACAAAAAATAAAATTTAATAAATATTAACCAAAATTTTCGACGAGCCAATGAATTTAGAAAATTAATAAAATGTGTCTTTATAAATATGTCCCATCACTTACCTGTGTATCTGAGAACAAAAAGACAGTTTCCCTTCGTTGTAGTCCAGCTGTCAGCATCAAGTGTTTAACATTATCTCTCCATTCATTTTGTCCGTATGCTTTCGTTAATTCTATTTGAAAACAACTAAATTCGGACATAAAGGTAGCAAGCCTAGTCAGACTTTGCCTTCCTAAAAAAGTTTTAGTTTAGAATGTTTCCATTACAAAAATAGATCACTTCTGAGAAAAGCACTCTGCCGAAACAAATGTAGTGATAAGATATTGTAATAAATTTTGTGGAATTTTTGAAAATAAAGTTTTCAGTATTTTATTGTTACATAAAATAAAGTTCCATCAGGTAACGGTCCAATCCATTATATAAAACATTAATCTTTATTGATAATCAAATTATGTGTAATAGAATATAAATATGTGTTTCTGATACTCATATATAAAAAACTCGTGAATTCAATACTCCTATGCTTATGTGCTTTGCGGATTACACAAAGGCCTTCAATAAAGTCAAATGGCAGCAGTTATGGTCCATACTAGCGGAAATGGAAACACCCTACCACCCAGTTTAACTAATTAGAAGTCTATATGAAAAAAATAAGTGCACAGTAAAAATAAACAACACCCATTCCGATCATTTCAGAACAGAGCCAGGTGTCAGTCAGGGATGCATAATCTCGCCAACTATCGCATACTTTATTTGCAGTATATGTAACTTAAGCAAATACGACCTAACTAAGCATTTTGTGATTCATAAAAACTCTCTTCCTATTTGTGATGTATTATGAAACGTGACCTTAAAAGCACAAACAAAGGTAGGGACCGACTAATTTACTCACTTTGTTTCCTGTGATGTGAATATACCCCTTTATTCGGAATTAGATCATTTAATAGTATAGTCATAATTTAAATTTTAGCGGAACATCCAAACTACGTCACTATATACGCTGACAGATAAAAACACCGATGGTACAGGTTGCGCTTTCGTAATACCTAAACGTATACAGAAAAAATATAAGTTAAACAAAAACATATATATTTTCCCAGCTGAGGCAATAGCAATTCTAAAAGCACTAGAATATGTTCATCAGAAAGAGGATCAGAATGCTATAATCTTTTCCGATTAAATTTCGGTTCTTAAAATTTTAAAATCAAACTCAAACACAACCAATGACATTATAATTAGCATTCAAGCAATACTTAAATGTTTACAGGATCAAAATAAATATATAAAATTCTTCTGGGTTAAAGCACACGCAAGAATAACAAACAATGAAATTGCATATCAAATTGTCAAAGAAACCATAGTAATATGGGAACAAATAAATTAGGAATTAACCACAGATGAACAAATATTCATAGCAAAACAGAGGATGATAAAGAAATGGTCCTATTTATGGCAAGAGTACAGCTTTACAAATCCAACACGTTACACCAGACTTGAAACCAAATTAAGGAGAAAGCGTTGGTACAATGAGTACGATTACAGTCGAAAAAGTATTACTATTATCAGCAGAATGAAGTTTGGTCACGCATGTTATCCAGCACATTTATTTAAAATAAAAATACTTTAAAGTGACCTTTGTGAAAACTTTAATAAAATCGGTGACATAGATCACATCTTTTTTTATTATTTAAAATATAGGTGGAATGGAAGAGTCGGAAGAAAAGACAATGACAGAACAGTTGGTTTATTTGGAGAAGACACAATTATCGACAACGGAGAAAGATTGATAGAACTATGTGAAGTAAATGATTTGAAAATTATGAACGGATTCTACAAACACAAAAATATACATAAGTACACATGGACTCAAGAGACAAGAAAACTAAGATCCATTATTGAATACATTATCATGAACCACAAAAGCTCCATCAAAGTGAAAGACACCAGAGTGAAAAGAAGGGCAGTGCGTGGAACAGATCACAAACTTGTGGTGGCATGAATGGAATTAGCTTATATCTGGACAAAACAAAAACATACATCGATTGTTACACCGGGAATGACAATAAACGAAAAGAGGCTGAAATTACATCTATTACAGGAAGAATCAATAAAAGATCTATACAAAAGAAGAATACACCAAAAAACTAGAAGAATTCAGATATGACACGTTAGATGAAATGCATGAACACATAAAAAACCTGTTTGATTTCAGCGGCCTTAGAAGCTCTTGGAGAAGACGACCAAAGGAACACCCATCAGAATATCAAATTAAGGGAAGACACATTGAAATGTATAAAAGAAAAGAAAAAACTACTCATAAAATACCTTAACACCAAAAAACAGGAAGACTTAGACCTATATAGAACAAAAAACAGAGACGTAACGAAAAGAGTAACAAATGAAAAGAACGAACGATGGGAACAAGCATGCACAGAGATAGAACGACATACCGGAGGAACGAGCAATTCAGAATCATGGCGAATATTAAAAGCACTCCAACGAAATAAGACAGAGAAAACCCAGATCGGCAAAATTAGTGAAAACGAGTGGCAAGAATACTACGTAGAACTACTTACAGAAAACCGTCCCCAATTTCAGGAAGAGAATACAGAACATGCAGGAAATGGGACATACGACCAGATAGAAATAAGTCTGACAGAAGTCAAGAGAGCAATCAATTGAAGAACAAAAAAGCCAAAGGACCCGGAGGGATTCCAAACGAACTAATTAAAAACGGAACGGAAAAGTTATTCCGCATGCTACACAGAATGTTCGAAAGAGGACTAAATGGAGAGGAAATACCTGCGGAATGGACACAAGCATACATCACATCCATACATACGAAAGGAAACAGGAAAAAATGTGAAAACTACAGAGGAATTAGTATAATATCGTCGGTAGGTAGACTTTACGGGAAAATTATCAAGGAAAAACTAGAAACTAAAATAATAGGAAAAATTGGAGAAGACCAAGCAGGGTTCACAGTAGGAAAATTATGCTAGATCATACGTACACATTAGAACAACTGATAGAGAAGAAAATGGCAAAAGGTAGACCGGTCCATCTGGCGTTTGTTGATCTAAAGAAAGCATATGACAATACCTAGAGTCAAATTATGGGAAGCAATGAATGATCTCGGAATCCGACAAATACTTAAAAAAGCAGTTAAAGCACTGTACAAAGAAAACAAAGTAGCTATTAAATGTGGAAATAAAGCCTACAATCCATTTAAGACGACAAAAGGACTTCTACAAGGCTGTGCTACGTCTCCTACTCTGTTTAAAATATTATTGGAAAAGACACTCAAACCATGGAGGAGAAAGTGCAAAGGAATGGGCATACCAGTAAGAGACGAATACCTATACACCTTAAGTTTTGCCGACAATCAAGTAGTCATCGCACAAGATGAAGAAGATGCTCAGAAAACTAGAAGACGAATATAAAAACAGCGGAATGGAAATAAACTTAGAGAAAACCGAATACCTAACAACAGAAAACAAGGATATGAGAAACCTAGAGATAGACGAGGGAAGACAAGTAAATGGAACAGATAAATTCAAGTATTTAGGAACCATAATATCGAACCAGGTAACAACAGAAGAAGATATGAACAACAGACTAAGACAAACAAGAAACTGTATAAGACAACTAAATTCAGTGCTGTGGGATGAGAACATTACGATAAAGACAAACAAGAGAATATATAATACCCTGACAAGAAGTATCCTGGCATATGGGTCCGAAAACTGGACAATAAACAAGAGAAATAGAGGTAGACTAAGAGCAGTAGAAATAGAGTTCCTGAGGAGAAGCTGTAGACTTACAAAAAGAGACAGAATTGAAAACGCAGAGATTAATAGGAGAATGAGAGTGCAATCAGACATAATCGACTATATAGAGGAGAAAAGACTATCCTGGTACGGCCACGTCAGAAGAGCGGACAGAGGAGACTGGATAAACAAAATTACAGAATGGAGCCCGATCGGAAGAAGAAAGAGAGGAAGACCCCGAAGGTCATTCAGAGACGAAATCGACGAGGCTATGGAGAAAAGAACCCTGCGAGATGGAGACTGGAATGACAGAGAAAATTGGAGAAAACGGTTGAGTGAAGGAAGACAGTGAAAACTGTGGAAATCCTTTGTAGTAGTAAAATATAGGTGACCTCAATCTAAAAAATGTTAAATTATGAAATAATGGTGGGTGAGACAGCATTTTTACTGTGATTTTCGGACTCAGCACACTAAAATACATAATATACTAGAGGCAATTTTATTAAAAAATGTTTTTCATCATTGGCCTGCGTTATTATGAAAATTTCAGATATTAATAAATATTTTGATTATACTACTTATATGTAACTTCTCTAATAATCGTTTTATAAAATTGGGATACAACAGATCAAAAACATTCAACATTTGTCACAATCAGATAAAAGATTGTGAGAAGTTTTGAGGGAGATGATGGCGTGATATATTTTATTGCTGATATTTCTGCCTAAAGCACATTCGTGTTATGTTTCACATTAGTATATTTTTTGTTAAATATTTAATAACTCGTGTTCAAACAGATAATCCAACAATACGTAATAAACATAATTCTAAAAAAGCTTTCGTGTCAATAATTTGGAACACAGATTTTTAACATCGATATTTATATTTCATTATTTTGAAATATGTTCCAATTAAATACAAGCACGTGTATTTTTATTTTGAAAGCAATTTCACGTCATGAAAGAGGTCTTTATGTTGTCTGAATTTTAATTGGAGCGGTTGAAGTGAGTACTAAATGTTTAAGAGGAAAAATGAAAGCAAATAAGAAATTTGATATAAGGATCTTAAGTAATATGTCCTTAATTGAAATTTATTGATTTTATCGTTAACACTATAACTAGATTATTGATGTAATTTGAAAATAAACTTTAATTGATTGGGTTTTATTTTACAATGTTCACTAGTTTAGGGAAGAAATAAATACCTCTACCCTAAAATATTTACTGTTTCTTAACACATTGGCTGCCACGATAAGAGTTACACATATTATTAACACATATGTTAGGTAAGTTCCTTAGGTGCCAAAGTAAAAAATACTTAAAAACAATATTTATTCATACAAATGATTAATAATAAAAATTAGGTTTACATTCTTACAATTTTTTTTCCGTTTCAAAAATATGTGTCTCGACAACTAATGGTCATTGACACAGGTACAATTTACATTCATGTTTAGATGGTTAATAGTATATTGGGTACAAATTACTTACAATACATTTTTTATAATATATTTTGTTTTAAATTAAATTTTATAATTTTGTGTTTTTTTAAAAGTTTAATACATTTTCGTAGTTGCTGCTGTTTGAGCCTCAAATTTAGGTAGGGTATTTACGATTAGGTAAATATATTAAAAATAACAAGAGCCAAAATAAAAAACACTTAAATAGTGGTGTGTACAAACTTCAATGTGGCGACTGCCCAAAAACTTACATCGGTCAAACTGGTAGAAACTTTGATAAACGAATAGCAGAACATTAAAGGGCTTTCAAGAATAGAAAAACAGATTCGACATACGCACTTCACCTTCTAGATCATAATCATTCTTTTAATGACAAATTTAAAATTCTTCACATTCAAAATAAAGGCTTTAAGCTGTCTTTGTTAGAATCTATGGAAATCAACAAATTAAAAAATACAGATATAATTCTGAATGACCAACTTGAGACAAACAGTTTTCCCCTCCTCAACCTATTTTATTGGAGACTATAAATTTGTAAACCCAAGCCAAAAATAGATCACTTGAGAAAGGCAATCAGCCGAAACAGCTGTAGTGATAAGATTTAAAATAAATTTTGTGGAAGTTTGAAAACAAAGTTTTCAGTGTTTTATTGTTACATTCGTATTATATTTGGATAAATCGATATTAAAATTTGGAAGTTTACATATCGATGGAGGGGTATGAGGAACAGTGAAAGGGTTGGTCGACAACAGATTGATATCTAAATAAGAAATTAACATCTATATAGTGGAAGGAACCATTTTAGGATTATTAGTAACTGGTAATTGTCTATTACAGATGAGGTTTCTTGTGGGATTTGTGGGATTTGCTGAAACTTTAGCGAAATAGAGCAGTAGAAGTTGTTGTCGTCTTAGATGAAGCGAAGGTTTGAAACATTCTACATGAATGCTTTTCACTGGACTGGATCGGAAGGCCCCTAAATATAGTCGAAGGGAAGTATTTTGGACTGCATTAAGTGAATGTAGTAGTGATTTACTTGATGGCATATAGAGAACACTACCATAGTCAAGTTTGGAGCGAATAAGAGCTCGACATATTTTTAGTAGTGTTTCCTCATCGGCTCCCCAACTATAATGAGCTAGTGATTTAAGGAGATTCATTCTTTGAAGGCAGCTACCCTTAAGTTCTCGAATGTGTGGTATCCAGAAAATTTTTTTTATCGAAAATAATGCTGAGAAGCATTATTTCGTCTACTACTTGTAGAAAATTTCCATTTGGAGTAATGGTTGGAGATTGCGTGTTTTGTCTTATGGTAAAATAAATAACTTTGGATTTGGATGAGGAAAAGTTAAGGCTGGATTGACGGGTCCAGTTGTTTTGTGCTGGATGTGACCTTTCCATGACAGAATATTATTATGTCGTCGGCATATATTTCGTATTGCACAGGGTCGTTTACGAATGAACTAAAATTGTTAATACTAAGGAGAAATAGTGTACTGCTTAAGACAAACCCATTGTGCTTGTGTGTTGTGAAAAAGTTTTGCCATTAGTAATTACTTTAAAGGATCGCTCTGTGAGAAAATTTGTTATAAGCGAATTTGTGTTTTTTTTTTAACTTCTTTACTGCCTTTTATTGCAACTGTTTCAGTGTAATATTGGTTACAACGTTTTCTCTTCTTTCTATTGTTTGTAGTTTTGGCATCAACTGTAACAAGCATATGCTTTACAATAGTAATAGGTTCAAGCATCGGACTCTAATAGACTAAACTAAAGATTAGCATTTCCCGAAATGAGATAATTTGCTGTTTTGTTTTGTTGATGGAATAATATATTATTAAACTATTAATGACAGCCGTATTCAATAAAACTTAAATTGCAGCTTCATGGTGCCAGCGAAAATTTTTCTCAGAGGTGAGAAATAGCTTTCGAGTTGATCTGAGATGTCAGATCAACGCCATCATTTCCTTTGTTGAAGTCTGCACATAAATGAATATTTGCTTAAAAACACTGAATGAATACAATTAAAGTAAGGTTTTAACTTTCTCTTCCTTTTGTATTTCACAAGATTTAATTTGAAAATAATTGTAGAGAGAAAATATTTGATATATATTTGTATTAGCATTCTTTTACATTTTAATATTACCTGAACCTCCCATGCCGAGAAGCAACGCATTCCCTAAAGGCTGTCTTATTATTCTTGAGATTCTGGATATATGTATCATGGCATCCAAAAACAGCACCAGTTTCATCGGTTTCGTACTTTGGAGGTTATAATCTTCCAGATAATAGTTCAGAGCAAACGACAATTTTTCAAAATCCTTTATTTGAACATAAGGTCCTAAAACAAAAAATCAAATATACATATACAGTGTGTTCCAACGAAAATTTTACCACCCAAGAAACTCAGAAACCATAAGTTTCTTTAAAATTTAGGCAAACACTTCAATTTGTATTGGTGGGTTTTTTTAAGCGTAAAGATGGGACGAGAAAGAGAAAGAAAGACAAAGTAAATCAAGATCCAGCTGTAGTGGATTGACTTACAAACCGTACTACTCTGTAGGGGAGATCCTTGTACTTTGAGACCGCTTGTACTTTGAAACGTTCGGACTTCTACTTCTACAGCATACAGCGGGTCAGGTGCATTAACTAGTTATATAACGTTTCTATGCGCTCACAGTGGGCAGAACTGCACATCTAAAGACACACAGAAAATCTGGACAAGAACATTTTGTATATAGTACATCACAAGACGTTAAGTTAGTCTTTACGAAACAGCAAGATGAAGAGCTACTAAAGTATGTTACCATTTGTGCCAAGATGCATTACGACCTCTCAACTATCGAATTAAAAAAGTTAGCATATAATTACGCACGTGTAAATAATATTGACTGTCCTTCTTCCTGGGATACAAACCAAAAAACAGGAAAGGAGTGGTACAGGTAAAAAAAGTTTTGCATTTTTTAGGTCATAAGGGTAAATAATTCTTTTTACAGGTTCTATCTGCGAAGACATCCGTCTTTATCATGACGTAAACCACAAGCAACAAGTCTAGCCAGATCGACAGAATTTAATAAAACAATGTTTATTTATTTTTTGATAAATTGGAAGAACTTATGGTAAGATACACATTTAGTCCGGATATAATTTATAATTTAGACGAAACCGGATTACCCAGGTTGCATACCCGATTCGTGTTATTGCAACGAAATGAGTTAAACAAGTCGGCAGCATCACATCGGCTAAAATAGGTGTAAATGTGACTCTAATTTGTTGTATCAATACTATTGGTAATTGTGTACCTCCTTTATTCGTATTTCCGTGTGTTTATTAAGAAATAGATGCTGAAAGGGTTTCCAATAGTTAGTGTTGGGAGCGCGAATCCAAGTGGATGGGCTAACTCTACGATTTTTGTCGAGTATTTAAACCACTATATAAAACATACAAATTCATGTACTGACAACAAATCACTACTGATTGTCGACCATCATGAGAGCCACATTTCAATGGAAGCTTAAATTTATCAAAATCATCGGGAGCCATCATGCATACCTTTCCCCCGACACCAGTCACAAGCTACAACCGTTAGATAGGTCGGTTTTCGGGCCTCTAAAGAAATATAGCTTGTTCCAACTGGCTAATTGCAAAGCCTGCAAAAACGATGGCGATCTATGATATTGCTGAGTGTATTGGGAATGCATATTCACAGGTATTTACACAGAAAAATAATCAGTCTGGTTTTACTGTATCTGGAATTTTCCCATTCAACAGAAACATTTTTGAGGAGCATGAATTTCTAAGTTCATATGTTACGGATAGACCACCAGTTGCCTAAGAGTCAAGAAATAATCAAAATACCTCCGAAACTAATAGTTAGAGAATCTAGGAATGCCTTCAGAAACTACTAGTATGCTTAATGATCCTAGTTCTTCCTTAGTATCCAATGAATTAAATTAACATAAAAGCCCCGAACGAATTCGCCCCTTTACCAAGGCAGCTGCGAGGAAATTTACGAAGAAAGGAGGTAAGAAACTAGGGCGCTGTAGAATAGTTACAGATACCCCAGAGAAGAACGATATTGAAATGATGGCGCTCCTTAAAACCACGAAGAATTTTGTTTAAAAAAAAAACGAAAAGCAACCAAAAATATTCTTAGTAGTAATTCTGCGACGTAATAAAAATAACGTGCGACGACTCACTGGACGACGTGGATTTTGCCAATGCAGAAGAGTAAGATAAAAATTTTCTTGAGTCTGGCAACAAGCGCTGCGTGGGAGATTTTATTTTAGTACAAGTTGCAACAAAAAAGACAAAACGATATTGTGTTGCTAATGTTGTTGGAGTTAATGATGATGGGTTTAAAATTAGATACCTAAAAAGAAGTAACTTTGCCGCCAAATTTCTTTTCGAAAATGACACTGTCTATGATTTGCCTGACGAAGATATGGTGATGAATCTAGGAGCTCCTTCAGTAGTGGGGAGCACTGCCAGAAGAAATGCTGAGATGACATTTTCTATTGATTTATCTGCATTTAACGTCCAATAAATAAACGTTTCAAAGTACACATACTTATGTTCCAAAGTACCAACCTCGGTGTGTACTTTGAGACCTTTAGGATATGGTGAATTTTTCTGTATTTATAAGCATATTTGCCATTAGAATTAATATTTTATTTTTTTATTCATTCACTTAAATTCGTTCACTACAAAAAAAAATTCAGTTCGCAATAAAATATAAAAACTACTGAAACCTGCTTTTATTTAAAAAGCGTTCCAAAGTACAAGGATCTCCCCTACTTTGTTAAAAGCGTCGACACTGTATTACAAAACGACACTTCTGCTGATTTTGCTTTTTGTATGACGAGATTCAAGGAGGCCTTAACGCTGACGAATTTTACAGCATTTTGTTTGGTTTCATTATTCATCATATTGACAGAACCGTAGTAAAAGAGGTAATTTTGTACAGCGTTGATTGCACATATCAAAACCGCAATACAATTTTATCTAATGGATTGCTTCTGATGTCAGTAAAAACAGGATTAATTGTTACTCAAAAGTTTATACAAAAAAGGTTACACTCAAATGGAGTATGACTCGATGCACGGCACGATTGAACGACATCTAAAAAAATAGGGAGACAAAAGGCACTGTTACTCCCTATGTCAAGTTTTTAGTTTCTATATATTTGACGATTAATAAGGTTGCTAAAGAAGTTACAACTTTGGTTGTATACATACAACATACAACATACAACATACAACATACAACATACAACATACAACATACATCAAATATATTGTGTATCCCATAAGTTAATCTTGTATGAATAGTTTACCGCATGATACTATGACTAACAAGATAGGATCTTCCCGTAGCACAAAATTTGCGCATGCCGTCATTGGAGAGTAGATTGAATTCTTGTTAAAGTTAAATGGGGTTTGTATGCACTCTGTGATGAAATTACTAGAAGAAAAAAAGTTACGAGGTTTAATAATTATAATAATCGTACACATAAGGATATCTCCAAACTATTTAATAAAAATTATTTATTGACACATACAAAAAACTGACATTTTGAACGTGCAACTCTCCAATGACGTCACGACTTCTGCGCAATATATTACCTTCTTAGTCATATTATTGTTCTGAAGTTATTTTCTTGTGGCATTTTAAATTAATTACTATTTAACTGGGAATAAGCCACAATTAAAGACAAAAATACGTTTATTGACGTTTCAATTTTCACTTCGGAATTCGTTCTTAAAATACAATCACTAAATTAAACAAATTTTGTTTTTTGTTACATAGTGAAAAATTCTTCTAATAATAATTTAATTTTATCTGACTTATTTATATTGACAATTCAGACAAACATTATGCATTTTAAAGTAGACGACTTTAAAATGGTATTGCCAATATTGTTGAGTTGCGCTCCTGGGACGACTTTACTTATAAGATAGTTCATTAGATTACATGAAATCAACTTTAACTTGAGAATATCCGTCAGAAAAAATCATGGCATGTAATTCGTCTTTAAAAAGACAAAAACATGACATGATGACAGTAAAATTCTCCTGTTAGTGATTCCATAGTAAATTATGAGGGAAAAACCAGGAAAAAAACCTCATAATACTATCCCGACATGGTAAGTTCGTGCATTTAGTTTACCTTCAATAAACACCAAAATTCTGATTTTATATGTTTCGTTATTTAAAAAACATAAATGATGTATCCTCTATATGTTACTAACTTACTAATACTGGTATTTTCTTATTAATAACTTCCTTTTTCAACATTGGTAACCAGATCCTAATACATTCTGCCGAGGAATTTAAATACCGAAACATATAAAATCATAATTTTGGTGTTTATTAAAGGGAAACTAAATGCACGAACAAATACTTACCATGTCGGGATAGTATTATGAGGTTTTTTTCCTGGTTTTTCCCTCATAATTTACTATGGAATCACTAACGGGAGAATTTTACTGTCATCATGTCATGTGTTTGTCTTTTTAAAGACGAATTACATGCTATGATATTTTCTGACGGATATTCTAAAGTTGAAGTTGATTTCATGTAATCTAATGAACTATCTTATAAGTAAAGTCGTCCCAGGAGCGCAACTCAACAATATTGGCAATATCATTTTAAAGTTGTCTACTTTAAAATGCATAATGTTTGTCTGAATCGTCAATATAAATGAGTCAGATAAAATTAAATTATTAGAAAAATTTTTCACTATGTAACAAAAAACAAAATTTGTTTAATTTACTGTTTATATTTGGAGAACGATTTCCGAAGTGGAAATTGAAACGTCAATAAACGTATTTTTATCTTTAATTGTGGCTTATTCCCAGTTAAATAGTAATTAATTCTTAGTCATAGTATCATGGTTTACCGGGGAATCCCATCTGCTATACGAGTTGCTGCTTTGTTTGTGTTCTACTAGTTACAGTATATCCCATTTACGTAAATGTAACTTGTACATTATTTAATTTAGTTGATATTTTTGACTATACAAGTGTTTCAATATCGAGATATTTTTTCAAAATGAGTCGTAATAGGCGTATATTAGAATTAGCTTTGAAAAATAGTGAAATAGACGCTGAACCTGGTAAGTAATTATCATAGCCACAATTTTGTAAGTAAAAATAAGTAAGTAGTTTATATTTTATTATAGATATGGAACAAAATTTATTTTCTGGCGAGATGGAAAACTTAGACATTGTTGAAAAAGATTTTGATGTCACAGAAAACCCTTTATGTGCAAATACATCATATGTATCACCCGATGAAATACTTATTCAATATGGCAATCATTTATTCGAATTTAAAAGAATGTTACGGCCTGGTTGTAGCAAATTTCTAGACCCGAATGGTAGTGATGTAGAGTCTAGTGGTCATAGTGAACCTTTCTCTGCCGATGTGTCCGAATATGTACCTTCCAGTTCTGAAGGTAAGGTGTCAGTTTTTAGAATATCTATTGCTATTTACTTTTTTCTTGTTAATAGACGACCAAAATTTCCTTTTGTTACAAATTGTTAATTTCTGTTTCTATTATTATTCTGTAGTCTTCAGGTAAATATACAAAAAATAATTTTGTTGTAGGTAGTAGCTATTCGGATGGACCAAAAGAAAAGAATCTACAAGAAATAGATGAGGTTGAACCAAAAACAAACCTAAATATACAAACCCTAAATAGTGCTACTATATTGGGGTTTTTTTTAGTTTTCTCCGACTATTTGTCAGAGAGGGAAATTGTGGTAGAAAAAGGAGTAGTGGTTGACGTGACGGCTGGGGTGCTACAGGGGTCAGTCCTAGGATCCACGCTATGGAACTTGGCATATGACGGGGTTATGAGCCAACAATACGAAGAGGGTGTAACCACATTCGCATTTGCGAACGACCTCGCTATGCTGATAGTGGCGCGGGACAGGAAGGACCGTATTTTTGGTGCACAGCGCACATGCAACGAAGTTAAGGGATGGATGAAAATGCATGAGCTAGAACTGGCTGGGGGTAAGACTGAGGCTATAATTCTCAAGGGACCAAGGAAAAGAGACGGGATAACATTTGAATGTGCAGGAAAGATAGTGGTTCCAAAGAAATGCGTGAGGTATTTAGGGGTGACCCTGAGTCAAAACGGAAAGAGGAAGGAGCACGTAAAAGCGTTGACTCAAAGAGCTGCGGTGAGATCGGCTGCATTGGGAGGGATCATGCTTAACATCGGAGGGCCCAAATCTGAGAGGAGGAGTGTTCTTCATTCTGTCGTGCAATCGATCGTCCTCTACGCTGCGCCGGTATGGAATTCTGCAGTTTTAACAAAGGCGTACAGAAAACAGCTTACCCGAGCAGATAGGAAGAGCCTATTGAAGGTGGCGTGTGCATACAGAACAGTCTCTGCAGAGGCGTTAGGAGTTATCACTGGGTGTAATCCAATGCACGTGCTAGTGAAGGAAAGAGGAAAACTATACGAGAGAAGAAATGAAGACATAGCAATAGAACGTTTAAAAAAAGAAGAAAGGGAAAGGTCCATAATAGTGTGGCAAGAGGAATGGGATGAGATGAGAAGGGTGGCGCAGTGGACGAAGTCGTTAATTCCTAACCTGAGAAGATGGATGGATTGTGGTCACCGGCGTTTGGAATATTTCCTGACGCAGATGCTCACAGGACATGGTTGCTTTAGGCATACCTTTACAGATTTGGAAAGGCAGAAAATGACAAATGCCTGTATTGTGGATTATTGGACACTGTCGCACACACCCTATTGGTATGCGATAGATGGATAGTTGAGAGGAGCCTGCTTGAGAGAGAATTAGGAGGTAGGGTGCAATCAGTCACGGAATTGGTGGAGGAGATGCTTAGGTCGTCAGATCGGTGGAGAGCAGTTCAGAGATATGTGAGGAAAACATTGGAAAGAAAGGAACAAGAAGAAAGGCGACCCGAAGATAGGCAGGGTGCCCAGGACCAAGCAGGAAGGTAAGTCAGAATGAGCGAGATTTAACATGAATAGGGAGAAATAGAGGGAGAGAAGAATGCCGTCGTAGTGAGAAAGTGCTAGAATGCGTGAGAATTGTGCGTGAATGAAAGTTCGGGTGAATGTCGTGCCGAGGTTGCGTCCCAATCGGGGCGATCCGGCAGGTAATTCACCGCTGAGGAGGGTGTTTTTTTAGCAGGTAGGTCTTGGCATTGGCGGCGATGGTGTCCGAACAACCCTAGCAAGCAGCCTCGCATATCATCGTGGCCACGTTGGAGGAGTCCTGCATAACCGAGGCTGGAAGGCGGTTCTGCTCGCTTTCTAAGACCGAGGTATGTTTCGAACATTTGGATCACCCCCCCCTCATAAAAGAAGAAAAAAAATATAGTGCTACTGATATAAAACATAATTCGCATACGAAAAAGGAACGAGATATGCTGGGAAAATGTACTTCTGGTCGTGAAAGGTAACGCAATATCAATAATTGGAAATGCAACTTGAATAAAAGGAAAAAAAAATAGGAGTTGCATTCACGAATCAACGAGGTCAACAAATCCGAGAAAGGCAAATGAAACAAGGGTGTACATAGAACTGTTTCAAAACATGTATTCAAAAGTTATCTTTAGAAATGAGAAACCAAATTTTTTTACAATTTTGGGCTCTTGGGAATCATAGTCATCAAGTACACTTTATGAATAACTGTGTTGAAAGAATACCTAAAAAACAAGCAGTACTTGCAACACTTCTGGTAAAAGGTGATAAAATTCAGGAATGTAAGAAAATGTTTTTCGATACTCTAGATCAGTGGTTCTCAACCTTTTTGTGGCGACGGAACACTTTTAATTACCGAAAAAAATTGCGGAACACCAAAGCAATAACATGCATATATTGATAAACAAATTAGGATTAGCACATAAATTCTGTAATAAACTTTATTATACGTACTCAAATTTGTAAAATTTTACTTAAAGTATGAAAACAAAAAACATTTTTAAAATTAACAAAAGCGTAATTCTCAAATTACATCATATGAGTACCTACATACTTCAAATTAGTGAGACACTTGTGCCTGGTGTCGTTTGCAAATTTGCACAATATCAGGCCTGATGTGGTAGAGAGCTACTCTCATTTCTTGTTCTAAGTTTAGCAGCCTTTCCCGTTTCTTATTTTTAATGTTTGTTAAAGATGAGAACCCAAATTCACATAAATAGGACGTTGAAAACTGTATTAAAATACTAATCGCTGTTTTGGCAAGAAGTGGATATTCCTCTTTGGATCAAGATCCAAAATTCCTGAACATTCACTTCTGAAAACTTAATTTTCAGAGTACGATCAGATGACAACGAAATAAATTCTTCTTCTTGGTTCAGAGAAAACTGAAAATTGGCTGTATTACTTTTGCTTAAAGGACTTCTTATTCAGTCATATTTTTCTACGTTCAGAGATGGAAAATACCTGGCAATTGTCTCCTCTAGTGATAAGTGTTCTGTAACTATATGCATGATTTCTTGTTCTTTATCTTCATCATCTTCATTCTGAAGCAGTGGAAACAAATCCATTTTATTTGTCTCTAAAATGCGCTTCTTCCAAAATGACAATTTTTTCTGGAAAGCTGACAGCTTGTCCGTGGATGTTAAAATATTTCATTTTTGCCTTGCATACTTGAGTTAACGCCATTTAAATAATTAAAAATATCGGCCAAATATGCCACTTTAGTGCACCATGCATCATTTTCAAAAACTGTGGTAAATGTGTCATTACCTTCTTCTTGGAAAAAAGTTAACAGCTCCGTTCTAAGTTCATAAATTCGACATAATACTTTGCCCCTTGACAACCATCTAACTTCAGTGTGCAGCAACAAACATTCATACTTTGATTCCATTGAGATGCAGAGCTGTTTAAAAAGACGGGTTTTTAGTGGTCTTGATTTGATGTAATTCACGACATTAACCACTTGGTCTAATACATATTTCAAAGTAGCTGGTAGTGTTTTTAAAATTAGAGATTCTCTATGCAAGAAACAGTACGTAGATATGATATTTTCATTTCGCTTTTTTGCAAGGGTACAAAAACCTTTTACGGAGCCTACCATGGAAGAGGCACCATCCGTACAAATTAATACGCAAAAGTCCCATGATATATTTTTTTTCTCTAAATATGACGTTATGGAATCAAATACATCCTGACCTGTTGTACGTGTTGTAAGTTCTCTGCAGCATAAAAACTGATTGACTATTTCACCTTCGTCGACAAATCGAATAAATCCTAATAAATGAGCTTTGCCACTAATATCAGTGGATTCGTCCACTTGCAATGCGAAGTTTTTTTGTAAAGTTTATTTGTAACTTTTTCCTCAATATCTGCAGATAAATCAACAATCCTCCTTCTTATTGTATCATCCGACATAGGAATTTTCCGTATTTCGTTTTGTGCATCGTTGCCAAACATAATTTTGACCATCTCACAACATGCTGGTAATATAAGAGATTCTGCAACAGTGTGTGGTTTCTGTTTCAAAGCAATTAATTCGGCGACCTTATATAAAGCTATTTGTGCTTTGTCGGAAATTGTTAGCGACCTTTCAAATTGTTTCGCTTGTTTAGCTTGTGTCTCCAAAAGTCGCTTGAAATAATCTTTATTTTTTGAAGCTACACTAGCGTGTTTGGTAGTAAAATGGCGTTTTAATTTAGCCAGAGCCATTGCGCTATTAGCGAGTGTCTGCCCACAAACAATACACTTGGGAATTGGACAGTCTTCTTCCCCAGTCCAAATGAAGCCATAATCCAAATATTCATCCAAATAATGCCGGTTCAACATTTTTTTGCTGCGCTTCGATTTGTCATCAACCCCACTTCGTAAAGTTCCAGTATCTCGGCTGGTGCTCGCTTCATCATCATTAATTATGAGTTGTTCCACAGTAGTTTTTCTTTTAAGTTTGAGGAACTTATCCATTTTAATTTATTCGTCTCTAAACAAAATAATGCGGATAAATGCTTTACAACGTTATCATAAAAAAACTGACACAGCGATTTTCACATATTACGTTTGTGCAATGTAACAAATTCAACATTCAGTTGCAGACTGTGGCGTGGGTGACTCAGATTGGCTGTGGCCACTGCGGAGCTCAGCGCTCAGCGCTTATAAAATCCAACGTGTGCACTGTGCCGACGCGGTGTTGTCACGTTGGGCAAATGAACATTTACGCTGCAGAATTTTATTAAATTAAAATGTACGTAAGTGGCTATTTTAAAATTTGAAAATATTTATTTGAAAAGAGTAATTTAACAAAATGGTATGTAGTGTTGCGAGTATTTCGCGGAACACTTGGAAGGAATTCGCGGAACACTAGTGTTCCGCGGAACACCGGTTGAGAACCACTGCTCTAGATATTACAGATAAGTGGGTTAACACTATTTATAAAAAGCTTAATATGGAAGTAACTGATTGTGTTTCACTAGCCGATCAACGAGGCCGTCACGAACACCGCCCAAAACAAGTACCTAAAGTTATTAAACAAAGTGTGAGGACACATATTGCTCAGATATCAGTTGTAGAGTTACCTTATGTGAGGGCTCGTAGCCATAAACAATATTTTGACGAATCTTTAACGTTTCCCAAATTATATCAACTTTATAAAGAGTGGTAACATCATAATGAATATGCACTAGAGATACAAGCTACCGAGAGACAATATCGAGAAGTATTCTACAATGAATTTAACATAGATTTCTTAAATCTCAAGAAAGATCTATGCGCAACTTGTGATATTTATAAAAGAGCTTCGATTGAACAAAGGGAAAGTTTACAGCCTAATTATACTCATCATGTCGCTTCTAAAATTGTGGTGCGTGAATTCAAAACGCAAATTAAGTCGCTTGCTCAATGTAGTAACTTAGTAGTTGCGGCATGTTTTAATCTCCAGAAGATCTTATCCACTCCAATGTCTTCAGCATCATACTATAAGCAAAAACTCGCCGTCTACAATTTTACAGTCTTTGATTTGGAAGACAATAAAGGACACTGCTATGTTTGGGATGAGACTGTTGGCCGGAAGTGCTAACGAAATTAGTAGTGCTGTATATTTCTTTATTGAAATGAAAGTCAAAAAGGGATTTACATACTGTTTCTTCTTTTCGGATAGTTGCGGAGGACAAAAAAAATAAAATAGTTTTTGCTATGTACTCCTTTGCAGTGAAAAAGTTTAACATTAATATTACACACGTGTTTTTTTTTAATAGGGCATTCACAAAACGAGGGCGATTCAATGCATGCCATGATAAAAAGGCATTAAAAACATCAAATCATATATGTTCCAGAACAATGGATAACTACAATACGATGTGCCAAAACATCAGGCAAGCCCTATTCAGTAACAGAAATAAATCAAAACAAATTTTAAATTTTAAACTATTTTAGGTCACCCACATTAATTTTGGCCTGTATATTAAAAACAATAAAGTAAAATGGTCTGAAATCAAATATTTACAGATCCGCGATGAAAATGCGAAAATAATTCACGTTAATTATGACGGTTTTTCCGAAAATAATTACTGCGTTAATTTAGAACAAATGCCTGTGACAGATATACCTCCCAGTTATTATAATTCCCTCGCCATATCAAAAGACAAATATAAATATTTAAACAGCCTTTGTAAGTCAAATGTCATAGCCGAAATATATCACCGTTACTATAAACAATTAAAATTTTGTGACCCTAAAAATATTTAAAGATCAGACTCCGAATAAAAATTTGGGATAATTATTTTATTTTGTTCGTAGTGGTAGAATATTGTTGTTTTTGTAAAATTTATAATTTTCAATTAAAATTGTGAAAACTAAGAGTTGATATTTCATTTAAATATACCATAAAAACTAATTTTCTCTCATTTACATTGCCAATAACTTCAAACATACAACCTGTTAATGGTAAAACGGAAAAAATAATTAACACGGAGAGTGTAAAATGATTGTTAAGCGAGTTACAACTTTTTTTTATACGAAGAGTCATGTTTAATCTCAACGTTGTATTTCAACCAAACTCAAGATTTTCAATAGTTAATCAAATTACAAAACATACATCTATTACACATTAGTGTAATAGAGTTTACTCATTTCGCTACAATTTTTTAAAAATACATCTTTTGGTTTTTTGCCTCTCCTGTAAAATTGCTAAAACTGAGTTACAACTTTGTTTGATAGGGGTGTCGATGTATGTCTGAATTGTCAATATAAATGAGTTAGATAAAATGTTATAGAAGAATTTTTTACTAAGTAACAAAAAGACAAGAAAATTAAACCTTGTTTAATTTATTAATGTTTGTACAATACAATAGAACAATTCTACGAAGACCTACACAAAACTATACTGCAGACAAAGAAGCAGACATAATATTAGGAGATTTTAAAGCCAAGATTGGAAAAGGAAGAGAAGATGACACAATGGGGGAGTTTGGCCTCGGAATAAGAAATGAGAGGGGAGATAGACTGCTTCAGTTCTGTAAAGAAAATCAGTACAGTGTAATGAACAGCTTTTTCAAGTTACCACCCAGACGTCTCTACACGTGGAAATCTCCAGCAGATGGAATAGAAGGACGCATCACAAGAAATCAAATCGATTACATAATGGTCAACAAAAGATACAAAAAAGCCGTAAAAGCATGCAAAACATACCCCGGAGCTGACATCCCCACCGACCACAATCTTCTTCTTGCAACAATTAGGATAGAATTTAAAAGAACAAAAAGAAATAAGTAAATAATAGCTATTAACCTAGATAAGCTTAAAGAAGAATCCACTAGTAATAAAATACGGGAAGAAATACATAGACACTTGAGTAACAGAACAGTACAATCGACACAAACTCCCGAGGAAGAATGGCACTATATTGAGAAAACACTTACAAGAGTAACAGAAGACTACCTCAAACAAGATACACGAAAAAAGAACAAACCATGGATGACAGAAGAAATTCTAAACATGATGGACGAAAGAAGAAAATACAGAGGTAAAAATGAAACAACATACAAGCAAATACACAAAAATATCAGAATAAAGATCCAACAAGCCAAAGAAACCTGGCTAAGTGAAAGATGCCAAGAAATTGAAGAGTTGGAACAAAGACATGATACTTTCAATCTACATAAAAAAAGTAAAAGAAGCCGCTGGAATATTTAAACAAACTCCTACGTCTTCCATCGAAGATAAACATGGGAACCCGCTACTGAACATAGAAGATCAAATAGGTAGATGGAGAGAATACGTGGAAGAGATGTTTCAAGACCGAGAGAGGACGAACATTTACATGCAGGAGGCATCGACTGGACCTGATATCACAAAGCAAGAAATTATCAAAGCGGCAAATCAGCTAAAGAACGGAAAAGCTGCTGGAGAAGATAATATCCCAATTGAAATAATAAAGATATTACTAGACGAACACATCGAAGTAATGAAAGATATATTTAACAAAATATACGAAACAGGCAAAATACCAAATGATTGGCTGACATCGGTGTTAATACCACTACCAAAGAAGAGAAACTCCAAGACATGTGAAGACCATAGGATTATTAGCCTGATGAATCATATGTTGAACCTTTTCCTACGAGTATTACACAATAGAGTATACCATAAACTAGACGAACACACTGGTCAAACTCAGTTTGGTTTTAAGAATGGGTTCGGAACAAGAGAAGCACTTTTTTCAATACGTGTGCTAGTTGAAAGATGTAGAGATGTCGATTTTGATGTATACTTGTGTTTTATAGACTTTCAGAAGGCGTTTGACCTGGTGAAACATGATAAACTAATAGATATTTTAAGGTCATGTAATATCGACAATAAAGACTTAAGGATCATTTCAAACCTCTACCAAGAACAAAAGGCTAAAATCAGAATAAAAAGGGAAACATCTGGAAAAATCAAAATCGAGAAGGGAGTAAGACAGGGATGTGTCCTATCACTTTTGCTGTTCAATGTTTACTCTGAGAAGATATTTCAGAAAGCTTTGGAAGGCACCACGGATGGTATAATTATAAACGGGCAATGTATAAATAACCTGCGATATGCTGATGACACTGTCATACTGGCAGATAATGCTGAAGCCCTGCAACGCTTAATGGACCGAGTAACGACACCCTGTAGAGAATTTGGAATGAAATTGAATACAAAGAAGACAAAAACGATGGTCATCAGGAAGCACCAAAACAGAAGGGTGAAGGTCAATGTCGACGGAACAGATCTGGAAAGAGTAACAAGAACAACGTACCTTGGAAGTAATCTTGATGAAACTTGGGATCACTCACTAGAGATAAGAATACGCCTATAAAAGGCACGTACAATGTTTTACAAAATGCAAAAAGTTCCGTGCAACCGCCAGCTGGGCATCTCATTGAGAACTAGAATACTTAAGTGCTATGTTTTCTCCACCTTGCTCTATGGTGTTGAAGCCTGGACAATGACAGAAGCAACATAAAAAAGAATCCAAGCATTTGAACTCTGGTGTTACTGTAAAATGCTCAGAATATCCTACATGAGCCATACGACAAATGCGGAAGTCTTGCGGAGGATGAATAAGGAAAGAGAGCTTATGCCTATAATAAAAGAACGGAAAACACAATATTTTGGTCACATCATAAGAAATCAAAAGTATGAACTGCTCCAACTTATAATCGAAGGCAAAGTCAATAGCAAAAGAGGACCAGCAACTCTTGGCTTAAAAACCTACGGCAATGTACGAACATGACCTCCATAGAGCTATTCAGGGCTGCTACAAATAAGATTAAATGGGCAAATGTAATGGCCAACGTCCTTAAGGATAAGACACCGTAACAAGAAGAAGAATATTTGTATTTTGAGAACAATTTCCAAAGTGGAAATTGAAACGTCAATAACCGTACTTTAATCTTTAATTGTGGCTTATTCCCATTTAAATAGTAATTAGGTTATAACTTGTAACTGTAATTTACAATAGATAGCATCGTGAAACTGTCTTTCCGGAAAAACACGGTTTTTGGACTTAAGTCCTTCTTGCATAACTACGTTCAATTGCATCGTAGGGCAAAATTTAATATTTATAGATTAATTAATTATAAGTCTACTTTAAACTCTTAACATCTACACACCAAAGTTTGGTATTATGAATGAGCTACATACATATAGGCAGGGACTGTATGAGTTACATAGATATATACAGGGACTGTATGTATATATATCTTACCGACTCCTACAGATGGATCTATAAAATCACCAAATAGAATATCCGTAGTGCCAAGAACTTCTTCAGATTTTAAACGGTACCGTTGTTCAATTTCAGACTTTAACAGTGAATCGAACCAGTTTCTATCTTCATCGTTAATCAGTCTATCTTGAAATATTCGACAATTTTCGTGGTACCAAAGCCGCAGCATCTCATTAATATCCTGCAAGGAGAAGTAACAAAAACCATTTTATTTCAAATATAAATTTTTGTAATTAAAAAATAGCAGAAAGCTTCATATTGTGCGCAAACAGACCACCTCCGAGGCGTGGTTACGTGTCACAGTTCTTAGAAGGACGAATCTTGAACATACAATCGATGGCGGTCTCAACAGCAGCGCCTGTCTTTGAGACAATTCCAACGAGAAGAACATAGATGGACTACTAAATATATTTACGTTAATTAGAACCGATCGTTTTATTTAAACATGCTACAGTTGGTGTCAGGTATGAGGTAATTTATTTATTTAAAAATATTTATTTAAAAAAAAATTCAGCATTTACTTTTAAAAAAGACTTTTGAACTTTAAAAAGTATTTTTTCGTTAGGGATATTCGCATAGTTTGGTAGTGATCTTTGTTAGAAAGAACATTTAGAAAATACGTGTGTGCCTGAGAAAAGATGTGGCTTGCAGAAAGATGTTCTTAATAAGAACGGAGATAACACAGACACATTCAATTTTCCATCAGCAGAAGAAGCAGTTTTAACGAAGATCGAAGAAACTTTTAAGATCTTAAAAATTTATAGTAGACTATAAATTTGTAAACCCAAGCCAAAATAGATCACTTGAGAAAGGCAATCAGCCGAAACAGCTGTAGTGATAATATTTAAAATAAATTTTGTGGAAGTTTGAAAACAAAGTTTTCAGTGTTTTATTGTTACATATTCTATTGTTTACAAATTCAATTTTTTTTTTGTCTTAAGAAACTTCATCAAAATTTTGCAGAGAAACATTTATTAGAATAAGACATTTTTTTATTAATATTTTTTGTATTTAATATGTAAGCAATAGTTTTATATAAAAAACTAATTTTATTTGGTGAGTTAACAAAAAATTTTTTATTTCTAGTTCAACTTTGTAAGACATTTTGTATTTTTTAGAAGCTCTTGATAAAAATTGTAATCACAATTGAAAGCTCGAGTAAAAAATAGTCAACAAATAGCCCCTTTTATTGACTCCAACCCATCAAAAACAGTGTTATATATATATATATATATATATATATATATATATATATATATATATATATATATATATATATATATATATATATATATATATATATTATAAACTCTCATCTTCCAGAAATTCGTTTTATACAACTTTGTAGCATTAAAGAAAGCAAATAAAATACGGTTTGGTATAGCAATGTGCACTTAAGCAAAAAGTTTTAATAGAAGTAAATGAATTTACAAGTAATTGCATTTCCATAGTCTCTTAAAATTAAGCAAAATTCATTAAACTAAGCTCACCCGAAGATTTTCTGCATCAAACATTAAAATTCCTTGGAAAACTTTACTCAAGTCTCTCAAGTTAAATGTATAATGTGTTTTAGCCGGGGTGGGTAAAAGTTCATGTAAAATAGTTGTATAAACTGTAAGCGTAGATGTCAGCATTCGATCGAAATATTTTTCGAAACCTTCTGGAGCTCGGTGTAGCCAAAAGTCTAATATTGTGCCGAATATTTTAAGCTAAAAAAGTAAAAAAAATTGTATTAAATTTATTATTTAATATGTAAGTGTTGGTATTGTCTATAATGAAGGTATTTGTTAGCTGTACTTAGCTATTACACATTCTGTATTCAACAGTTTTTCTTTCTATTTTTCTTTCTGATTTTTTCTCGATAAGGTAATTTTCCTAAGAAAATTGTTAATCCAATTGGCTATAATTATTTGACCCACCTTTTTTATAATTGCCATATTGCCAGATTCCAGTAAGAGCCTAAGAAGGTATCCATTGAATTCTGACAGGCAACGGTGGGTGAAATCTTTTTTGGAGATCTACGTCACGAAACAAGACGCCCTGGCACCTTTCAGCCGGGTAGCATACTAGGCCAAAAGGCCCCAGGGTAGTGCCAGATTAACTGAGTTTCGGCTAAAACCTTAATTATCGTTCCAGAGAGGTGGTATTGCCACTCAATAAACAATTAAAATAAACTAAACATTTATAAATAACCATACCTATTACTGTAAATCAAAAAATGTTTTAGACGTTAAATCATAAACTAATAAATAATATTAACCATAAATTTCAGATCGCTAGCTCAATTTCCTGCTCCGTCCTCCTGCTCATTTTTGTTCGTCACCCCAGAAATTAGACAAAGTTCTTCTCTCCATTCTTTCTTTCCTCTAAACATTATTTCTTTCATTAAGCCCGAAACCCATTCGCCTCTTCGAAATCTCCTCTCTCATTTACCCATCTCTGGCAGTTAAAAATGTGGGCGGGAGCGTCCGATACCCCACAAATTGTATAGTCTGCCGAGGCAGACTTGTCTATTCTATTTGCGAAAGTTCCAAAACTACCATGTCCGGTCAGAAACTGCGTCAGGAAGTAGTCTAGTTTCCTGAACTTATATTCATACTGTCGCCCAGAATACTGAATTGTGATTGGTCAAATGGCAACAGTAATTGCAGCCAATCATAATTCAGGATTCTGTTGCTCATTTTCGCTATTATCATTGGTGGAAATGCACCAGAGTTGCAACCAATGATAATACAGAAAATTGGGCATTGGTCGTCGTGCTTGGTAGGCAATCGGTACCAGGTAGCGACCGTTACGATTGACCTACTTTTTCTTCTATAAAAGAAGTGCACGCCGGCCAGGAAATCAGAGTGAATCAGGATATGTCCGCCAGTCCAGCCTTCCTTTAGGCAAGTCGAGATCCTCAGGTAGATTAGGTTCCCTGATCCTCAAACCCAGAACCTAACGTTCTCATCTTTGGCCACCTTTAACCCTTTGGCGAAGTTCCAGTGTGAACCTCTGTCGGTTTTCGAGCGAAAACCAGCGGCCATTTTTGGACGATTTATTTGTGCAATTTCGACTTGGTCGAAATTCGCTAATAATTATCCAGAAGCGTCGTAAATTGAAGCCGCATTTAATCTGTGTTTCCGACTCTGTCGAATCCTGATAAATACGGACTTTGCAGCCGAGTAAAACTTAATCTTTTTCAAGATTTTAGTTTAACACGGATTTTTAAAGTAGTGTAAGAAATTGTTCTCTTCCAGGGACAATTCGCTAAGTCTTTACTTACTAAGTCTTTCGAACGTGCATATATCCTTTAACAAGGAATTGTTTAAATAAAGAAAATAACTTGTGTTTTACTACCCATTATTTTCATCCGCATAAATCTCGTTCGGACTCTGCATTCAGAGCCGCCGATCTTTATATAGGAAATATATTGTTTCTCTTTCAGGTACACAGTAATAAATTGGTAAGAGGTTTTAATATTTCTTATGAGTGTTTTACATGTAATAGGTACACTGCAAAACTTGGTCAAGGAATTGCATCTTTTATGTTGAATATATATGTATGCATTTTGGTACACTATTAAAACTTTTACTATAATTTGAACTTTGTCGATATTTTATGAATTGTGCTTTTATTTCTACTTTCAGAGATTTAACTTGTAATATTTTACTATTTTATTCTTATACGTATCGACTTATTTGTTATATCTTTTTCCACAGTGTACTTATACCTACTTTTTATTGCTGATTTGGCCGAATGGCACTATATTGAAGGGATTCCAGCTGGTTTCAGGTCCTTTGTAACACTTTTTCCTACCCTTAAATTTTGACAGCTTGGATTTCCCTATAGTTACTAATTTGAACTTGACCCATAAATTGCGTGTTAATTATTGATTTTTTGCCTTTCAGATTCTTAGGCTTAATACTAACAGGTGGTTGACCTCCAGTTCATTTACCTGGAGACAATCACCTACTTTTCTTACAGATTCTTATATATTAAGATCTAATTATTCGTACTTGATAATTATTAACACATAATTGCAATTTATTTCGTATTTTATTTAATTATTAATAACAATCAACTATTTCTTTGTTTTCTTTCTTTTATTCCTAGATAAATAGTGGCATAGCTCGTGTCTATGGCCACTGACCGAACCTACGCTCTTCGGTCCTCCACAAACATGAATAGAGCGGTTAATCCTGTATGTCCAGACGTCCCTTCTCCCGAGGGAACTGAAGGGCATACAGATTACCGACAATACCATGGTCTTAGATCGGGAATAAGCTCCTTCGTCCACCTTGCATTTCCCCTACCATTCGTCCATTCTGTCTGTCACACTACTATCGTTTTTTCTCTCTCATTCTCATCTTTATTTACATCCATACTTCTCGCATACATCCTCGCTCGCTCTTTACACAACAAGACGATCGGTATCACCGCACCAATGACATATAGAGCCTCATTTGAAACTGTTCTATATACGCTAGATACCCTGAGGAGCATTCGCCTTTGCAAAGTCTCCATCAGCTTATAGTATTTCGCAGTGTTTAGTACGCTACACGACACGGGCACACCTTAGGTTACCACCGACTGGAAAACTCCATTTTGCATCTTTCTTTTGGTGCTACCTGGGCCTCCAATGTTTGGCATCAGTCGTATTAACACCTCCAGATTTCGGTTCGCTTTCTCTACTGTCTTCTGGATATGTACTCCAAACCTTAGTTCTTCCGACAACCAGAATCCCGGATACTTAATTGATTTAACCGGTGCAACCTTCACACCTTCCACTATAAAGCGAAGAGAGGATTTTTCCCGGGTCCCTTTGAGTACTTACACCTCAGTTTTCTGAGGCGCCATCTGTAGATCGTTCTATCTGATCCACCTACTAATGCGACACAGGGCTGTTTTAGCAGCATTAGCCATGTCTGTTTTCTGACTCGCCTTTGCAACCAGTGCAAGATCATCGGCATAAGTTACAAGAGTGCATACCCTTGGCATAAGTAGCCTCAACACCCCGTCGTTCATTTTTTTTTCCCCGTCGACATTTTACAGGATGGAACCTAGTACTGAGCCCTGTGGAGCATTCTGCGACAAACTGATGCTGGTATCTTTTTATCTTATGGGCCTGTCAGTAAAATATCTCTCAATTACGTTGACCAATTATCTTTACTAACACCCAATTCTTTTAGTCTGGACATGATTTTTCCCATGATACTGTATTAAAGGCATTCTTGACGTCAAGCAGAATGAGAGCCACCCATTTCTTTGTATCCTGTGTAACTAGAGAGGTTAATTCTGTGACCGCATCTATAGTGGACCTTTTGGGCCTAAAACCATATTGGCGGTCACTCAGCGCATGCTTTAATAAGCTTTGCATACAATTTAGCTATTGAACTAAGAAGGCAAATTGGCTGAAATCGCACCTCTTCCTCTTTACCTCTACTTTTCGGAATAAGGACAACCTTAGTTTCTTTCAACATTGTTGGAAACTGCTGTTGTTCAAGCAGTTTGTTTAGCAATTTTAAAAAAACCCGCGGGTAGTTTAGTGCGGCTAGTTTTACTGTCTCCGGCATGACCACATCTATACCAGGTGTTTTTCGGATGTTCATCCGTCCAACAGCCTTGCAGAGTTCCAACTCAGTGAAAGGTTCCGCATCTACGAAAAAAATAACCCTTTCACGCCTATCCTCCACCTGATGAAAGAGTTCCCATATAAAACAGAGTTTCTCCTTCTCAGACAGGGGGTAGGGTGTCTTTGTCCCCTTCAATTAGGTACAGAAAATCTTAAAGCCCTGCCCCCAGATATCACTTTCAAAATCTTAAAGCAGGTTACTCCACCTTTCTGTCTTAGATCTTCTTATCTTATTTCTGTATTCGTTCTGTATTTGCTTTAATTTATTTATTCTGTCTTCAAATATTCTGTCTTCTAATATTCCAGTTTGTCCTCAGATTTTCAAGCTGCTCGTTCCACCAATATGGTTGTTTTCTTTCATATTTTCCATTTGATCTTACACAAGCCAACTCCTGTACATTACTTAGACCCTGAATTAACTCACGCACATCCTCATGATTGATCCACCTTGGCCTAGATAACATTCGTTGAAACTGTCAAATTTAAATCGTAGGCCATAATATTGCAGTTATGGTAAAACTAAAGAGCAGGGAGACTGATTATTTGTTTACTATACCGTTACTCTTTACTTTTCTTTTAATTATTAGATTTCCAGAACGCAAAATCTAATAAAACTTGATTAAAATATCGAATAATTCCTTGTAGGAGTATATTTTGAATATTTTATCGAATACTAATTCGTAGACGCGAAACTAGGGCTAGGCAGAGGGGTACGTAGTCCGGGTGGTAGATTTTAGAAGTCGGCAAAATTTGAAAACTTTTTTAAAAAGTAATAAGAGTTTATTAAATTTTTTTTAGTTATATTAATACATTTAACATTGTTTAATTTTTCAAGCATCTCATCAATATCTATTTCACCCTCTTTTACCCCTCAGTTTCCAACAACTGGTAAAATAAACAAACAGACACCTGCAGCTTGCAGTCATCGTTATCGTTATTGATGGGTAAACATGTAATCTTGTTTCATCAGGATCTCGTTATCATTTACTGTATATCTTAGATATTTGAATGGTGTACTCTTTAAATATGTTCAGTTTCAATATACAGGTCGATATTTTGAATGTTCTTTTTACAGTTCTTTTTTTATAAATTGAGTTTTCTTTCTGTTAATCTTTATTTAAAATAAGTTGCCTGTAGCATTGACTCTATTAAGCATCATCTGTAAATCTTTGATGTTACCCGCCTGTAAAACCGTATTATCTACATATCGAAGATTACTTATTGGTAAGCCAATAATCTTGATGCCTTCATATTATTATTCTAGTGCTCCCAAATTTGTTTTGTATATATGTTGAAAAGCAGCGGCAAAAAAATGCATCTTTTTCTAATCTCTTTAGAAATGGTTGTTTTGTTCTACCGTACGTTCATACTTAATATGGGCTCTTGTCGTACGGTCGCAGCTTCCACAGAGGTAGTTTCTGTATCTGGATGTAGTTTTTCGCCTTCATCCTCGACCTGGTGGTTACCTATGTGTACTTGTACCACACTCCACGTACAGTTCACTGGTGATTCTGTAGTCCTCGAAAACCCACCAAAAGATCAAAATACTTTAACAGTTTAATGGTTTTTATTTTATGGTGTATTATTTTCTTACATATATTGAATATGAGTATTCCAATTGCGGTGTACCCCCTGCATTTCACAGATGTGCCAGCCCTTTACGTTTCGACGTGTGGTCAAGCATACACCCCACGAGGTATGTAGGAACACCGTCAGAGTGGCGATATTGATGTTGATGCTACGCCTCGAACGTTACCTCCCGCAAAAACAATCTAATGTCTTGTAAAGATGTTGATTATTTCCATCGAGAAGTTTTCTAACGGCGAAGCGCAACGTTAGCTCGGATACGGAGTGAGGAGCAATTCCAAAACCACCTGGGACTCCTAACCGTCGGCGTCGGTGGTCCAGTGGAACACTGTGCCAGTTGGGCACCATCTGACATAAATGTAAGATACATAGTATTTCCTATCTTAAAGATCGATGCCTACTCAGGCAGAGAATGTTTACTCCGAGCTGATAGTTTCTTTTTTAAGGTAACACGTTTACTATTAAACTTTTCTTCACCTCGACGAAAGAATGACCAAAAGTCGCGTTTTCCTGTGAATGCTCCGTAGTCGATAAGATATCGTACTTATTCAATAAGTAAGTGTTCGGACTCTTCTTTAAACGAAGTATTCTTACAAAAGTTCACTCTTGGGTAATAATAATAAACATTAAATTTTCAAGAGGCTCTTGGCCAACAAGGGTATAGCAGGGGCTACTGGTGTAAGACGACTTTGTGTTTGCAATTTAGCAGAGATTTTCCGTCGGGAGGCCAAAGACAACGCAGTTAATCAACCTTTTTTATGAATGGCCGGCCAGAGTGACAATCTGCGTCGTGATTGGTCACTTCTGGCGACACTCTATGATTTTAATACAGATTTCTAATAATCTGGATATCCTTAATGTCAGGTAGATTTTCGCCCCAGAAGTTATGTAAGCAAGTGTTTAACTTACTATTTTATTAATTTATTATAATGTGGTCTTACCTTGCTATCATCTTCCATTTCTAGGAATGTCAAATAGTGAAAATGTCTCAGAAGTCTAGCTGTTACGGGATTTCTACCACCACCTGGTGGACCCATAGCCGCTACAAAGTTTATATCAATTATTTTTCTAAACTCGCCAATATTTTTTCTGTCATACCAGCCTGCAACAGAAGATTTAGTTTTTTAATTAATGCTAGTTTATTGCAATAAAATTTTGATGAACCTATCAGATGCACAGAAGAAAAGACGGAACTGGCAAAGCGCAAATGGGTTAACAAACAATAGAATAGATTATATACTATACATGAACAGCAACGCAATATTAGATACAGTAGTGTTAAGTACGACAAACAGAGGTAGCGATCACAAAATTCTAAGAACACGAATAAAAATTAACATCAAGACAGAAAGGAGAATAAAGGGTTTTTTTAGAGGTATAGAAATATAAGTAGGTACCACTTTTTTAACTGTTGGCCATTTTGACAGCTGTCAAGTAATTCATGTTAAATATCATGAAGTCTTCTATGATTATAGTTCTCACTTTAATGGACGATTTATTTTCTTTATACAGAGCTTTTGTAGCTTCTATGAGTTCCGTCTGTATTTCTAATTTCTACATTGCCTCCCATAGTTCTGACCTTGGTACAGAGTCATACGCCTTTCTCAGGTCCACAAATACCAAATGCATACCTCTATTTTTTGCTTTTTTTCAAAATTCTATACCTCTAAAAAAACACCCAGTACAAATAATTTTGAAACTTAAAGTTGACACTTACATGGCCAGTTAAGATTATTAGATGATAAATATTAAGCAAGGGAAATTAAACTTTTTTTCTATTTTTAAGGATAAAAAAAAACAAATTCATTAGCGAAACCAAATTCAAAATTATTGTGCAAATTATATTTGAAGTATTATTTGGTTGAACATGGAAGCAACTTTATGTTTAGGCGAGTGATTAAAGTTTGGATGTTACTTATATTAATTTTTCTTATACTTAGATACAAAATAAATTTTATAAGATTCATAAAATTTAAACTCAAATCACTTGTTGTCCGATCTTAACATTTTTTGCGTTGCAGCACTCTCGTATGCAGCCATCGATAAACTCTATATATGGTCTCTTACCTCCAAAATCCATCCATTGTCGAATTAACTCGATTGGTGGTTGAGCTCCAAATACTTCAAGTGCTGGCATGTTAAAGTCGTCGATAAAAAATATTTGTCTTTTCAGAACAGGTGGCCCAAATACTCCCCTTCGTCTTCTGTCTAATTTAGAGTCAATGAGATCCTGAAACAAGTAAAAAAATTTATGGTAATAATATAATATTATACAGATTGAACGAATTTAAAACGGTTCATACAATTTAATATATGTCTGTTTGAACTGCATTTGAAATAGTGGACCAATATAAAACTAGGACAAAAATAAATCCATACCTGGGTATAGACATTGTATAAAATATCGTTCAACTATCTGTCTCGCAACCTCTCAACAATGTTGTTTGCGTAACAATGTTGCCAATCTCCGTGTAATAATTTGATTTGCGGATCTTTTTGAGAGTTATATCTTCTTTTTATCTTTAAATAAATCGGATATTTGCCTATATTTTTCATTGTATTTACCAATCTACTACAACAGACTAATAACAAAAATAAACTTAATGGTTTGTAGTTATTTCCTTTGTGCCCTGTAAATATTTTCTGGTTAACACCTTAACAATGAGGTTGACAACACCGCTCAAAAAAGTGCTTGTCTAAGGAAGCGATAATAGTTCAGGAAATGAAACTCGAAAAAAGTTAAAAACTCGCAATTTTTTCGTCCTGCATGGAATGAATTGAAATTTTAACAGAAGGTAGGTGATAGCCCAAGGATCAAAATCTATATTGAACCGAAGTGCGCTGAAGGGTGTGAAAACTACCCCTAATTGTCAAAAATTATAAAATAACATATTAAACCTGAATATGGGTAAGATTTGGTTTGAATTAGTTACATAATGATTATTTTATACTTTTGAATAGAGTTCCATCATATTTCAACCCTTAAAAAGCACCCCTTGTTAGAGATTAATGTAAAAAATTAGTAATTCTAAAAAAATGATTTCGCCTTGGATCGATTTGGATAAAAATTTGGATTTAAGCTAAATTCACCCGCTGCGTTATAGTTTATGTCATGTCGACGAACCCTAATTGTTCTTAGGGGTGAAAACTACCCCTAGTTGTCATAAATTATAAAATAACATATTAAACCTGAATATGGGTAAAATTTGGTTTGAAATAATTAAATAATGATAGTTTCTTGCTTTTGAATAAAGTTCCATCATATTTCAACCCTTAGAAAGCGACCCTTGTTAGAGATTAATGTAAAAAAAAATTAGTAATGCAAAGAAAATGATTTCCCCTTGGAACTATTTGCATAAAAATTTGGAATTATGCTCAACTCACCCTCTGCTTTATAGTTTATGTCATGCCGATGAATCCTAATTGTTCTTAGGGGTGAAAACTACCCCTAATTTTCAAAAATTGTAAAATAACATTACAAATCTTAAGATGAAAATAAAATTTGATTTGGATTAGTTAAATAGTGATTTTTTTATACTTTAAAATACAATTTTATACATTTTCAACCCTTAAAAATCAATTGTTATGAGTGCTATAGGTGAAAACAATTTTTTGCCAAAATTTTGCAACTTTTTAACTTTTGAAAATCACCCTTTACAACATTGCAGTTTCTATAAACTAATTTAATAGATAGAAAATGAAAAAAGTAGAATTATATACAAAAAAAATTATCAACATAAAAAGGCACCATATATTCTTATACATTTACATAAAAAGTTGAAAATATTTACATTTATAGGTAAAATAATTATAATATTAATTTTATTCATCATCAATTATATCTTCATCGTGATCTATGTCATCCTCATCTTCTTCAATTATTGGTGGACTATTATTGCACCCCTCACCTGGGCACCTAGAACAAGTAGAGTTACAGTATAAACCAACTTTTCTGCACCCACATGAAACGCCGCATCCTTTTTGGCATTGGCAAAAAATAATTTTCAAAAGTTCATCGGGTGCAGGTTGTTTGTTCATGCGTACGGGTAATAACAAACCATCTTTTTAATACCATTCTCAATCTGTTGCTCTGATATTTTCATTGCCAAGCCATAGACATATGAGCAGATGTTTTATTCTGCTGTATATGATTTCAAAATAAGAACGCTTAAAATTTCGAATGTATAACGCCCAACGTCCTAATATACCGGTTTTGTAGATTATTATGCTCCGAAATGTACTGTACTATACTAATGGAATTTTCCGGAAAAAAAATTATTTGGTTTTTTTATCGTATTTCCTTCATTTTTAACGATAGAGTGTTTCTTCAAAAACGATTTTGTAGAGGTTTTTAAGAGCTACAAGGATCTGTGAATTATATCTTTTTGGAACCCTTGGTTTTTAAATCTGGTGAGTTTAAAGGGCTCGAAAAAGATGGTGCTTGATGGAAAAAAAATTTTAGTCATTAAAAAAGATACAATTTAGTACATTTTTATTTTTTTCATATATTCAGTATTTTCAGGGATATTTAAAAAAAAGAAGGCTAAAAAATATGAAATTGTAAATCGTTTCTCGCTTTAAGCTGTACTTTTTCTAAAACTAAGCATTTTAAATGGGTCAAACTTCTTGGACGTATTAACAATACATGTGCAAATAGAATTGTAGAAGGGTGAAGATTGATTTTAATTATGGGCGTGGTTAAGGGGTTGTTTTCATCGATTTTTTCGTAAAAAAATGAGGTATTGACCTTATTAAGACTAATATTTTATGTTGTATATGTCACAAACATATTTGTAAAACCTATTCTGTCTCAGTTGTAAACTAAATTAAATTTTGTAGGTATTTGTTCTTATTATTTTCTGGGAAAGAAAAAAATGCTTTTTATTTTTGTTTTGAGGTTTAATTTACATTAGCAACATCTTCTTCTTTAAGTGTCGTCTCTTTAAGTAACCTCCGATTGGATATCACCACTATATTTACTTTATCCACTGCTGCTCTGAATAGTTCTATAGAACTGCATGTAAATCACTCCCTTAAATTCTTTAACCATGACACACTCCTTTTTCCTATACTCCTTTGTCCTCTTATCTTTCCCTGTATTATCAGCCTTAGCAGTTCATAAACTTTCTTATTTTTATGGTGTATAATATCTCATATTCCTTGCCTTTTTCTCGAAATACTTTCGTATTAGTTTTCTTCTGTATCCATGCTATTTTAAGCATCCTTCTGTAACACCATATTTCAAAGGACTGTAACTTATTTATGTATTCTTGCTTCAATGTCCAGCTTTCAAGTTTTTAGCATCTCAGTGCTCTTATTCTGTTCTAATCTAAGATTTTTGTTGCAGAGAATTGTTTTCACTTTTACAAACGCATTGCTATTTCTATCCTAGCTCTTATTTCGGTTGTTTGATCATTATTGTCTAAAATCCAGATTCTTGGGTATTTGTATTTATCAACCCATTCTATCGGTACACTTCCCAATTGTATGTTTGTTGGTATATTTGTTTTCTTTGTTATTATCATGTATTAGGTCTTTTTTATATTCATTTTTAGTCCATATTTTTCACAGAAACAGTTTGTTTTGTTTAGCAGTAATTGGAGTTATTCAGCAGAGCTTGCCATAATCACGGTGTCATCTCCATATCGTATGTTGTTAATAGATCTTCCGTTAATTATTATTCCTTCACTTTGAGATAGTAATGGTTCTTCAAAAATGGCTTCACCATATACATTAAATAATAATGGAGACATAATACTCCTCTTTTGATTTCAATTTCTGGACTGGGTTCGTTATCTATTACGATTTGTGCTCTTGGATTCCAGATATTTATTTATAAGACAATTGTGTATTATTTTCAGGAATAATTTGAGTATGTGACTTATAAGTAATATTGTTCTGTATTCACTGCAATATTTACCGTTTGTATTTTTAGGGATAGCACAAAAGGTGGAGAGTAACCATTGTTTCGGTATGTGTCCTGTTTTGTATACTGTGTTAAATAAGTCTACTATAATGTCTAAGGTTTCATCACTCATGCATTTTAAGATTTCTATAGGGATTGGGTCTGGACTTAATGCTTTATCATTTTTGCTGTTTTTTAATGCCATTTTAATTTCCTCTTTTAATATCATTAAAACCATGTCCTCTTTTTCTTCTATCACCATCTGTTCTATTATATTGTTTTTGAACAGTTCATTGATGTATTCTGTCCATCTCTTTAATTTGCAATATTGAGCGTTTATATTTTAAGGGATAGCACAAAAGGTGGAGAGTAACCATTGTTTCGGTATGTGTCCTGTTTTGTATACTGTGTTAAATAAGTCTACTATAATGTCTAAGGTTTCACCACTCATGCATTTTAAGATTTCTATAGGGATTGGGTCTGGACTTAATGCTTTATCATTTTTGCTGTTTTTTAATGCCATTTTAATTTCCTCTTTTAATATCATTAAAACCATGTCCTCTTTTTCTTCTATCACCATCTGTTCTATTATATTGTTTTTGAACAGTTCATTGATGTATTCTGTCCATCTCTTTAATTTGTCGTTAGTATTAAACACGAGAGTTTCCCATTTGCATATTTCAGTATTCCCGGTTTTCTTGTTCTATTGTTGTGAGTTAATTCTCTAATTTTTTTATGTGCGTTAAAACTATCATATTTTTTCTGGTATTCTTCTATTTCTGCGCATTGTTCTTTTAACCATTGTTTTTTCTATTTCTTAATTCTGTATTTTATTTGTTTATCCACTTTTTTGTACATCTGATTATCTTTGTTTTTATATATATTAGCAACATAATTTTTGTTTCCTTAACTATAATTTTTGTTATTAATGTTTTGTTTAACCGTAAACCATAGTTGAGTTATATTGACCCGAACAGTACATTTGCATAGTTGACGGTACAGCAGGGTTAAGTAATTATTTAACTCAAAATAGAAATAAAATTGTTTGATAACATTTACACTTTCCCAAAAGTAGAAAAAATGCTTATGGGTCTGTAATTGTCAGTTTTTGAGAAATCACCTTTTTTGTAGATAGGTACTACTACAAAACTGTACACTGTACTACTTTTTTGTGATATAAGTACTTTTGAGTATTTTGGACTTCCGGAAATACTCTGGTTGATGAATTAAATTAATAAGATGAGTGAAAGGTGTTAAAACTATGTAGTTGGTAAATCTCTTTTAAAATTTTGCTATTAGGGGAGTCTTACAGTACCGGCCGGCAT